TCATTATATATAATTAACTTATAGTAATTATTTTTAATATTTTATAACTTATTAATATTTTTATAAATTGATTTAAGATGTTTAAATATTTTTTCTACAGTCTGATATTATTCAAAGTGATTTTTTTATACAGAATATAATATAATACACTATATCTTTATCAGTTTAGTTTTTAATATAATCAATCTTTATACATTTAGTAAGATAGTGATTGATATTTTTCTGTAGTTTATTCTTCATATGAGAAAGTCAATACTTAAACTTTGACTTCTTATTATTAATATGATGTTTTGAATCATCAATTTTGATAAATCTTCTTATATTCTCTGAGAGAGTGATATTTTGACTTATTGCTTAATTGCTGATTGTTATATAATTTAAAATATAATTAAACTTATCACATTTTGCAATGAGTCTATTAATTTAACTTTATTTGATAGCTGTCTAAGCTGCAACATCATTTCATTTCATCTGCAGATGTGTAACTATATCTTTTAGTACTTTTTTATTATCAAAAATATTGTTAAAGATTGCTGCTAACTCATTAGAGGTATAATTTTTATCTAAATAAATTATTTATCTAAATTTTTTAAATGAGATTTATGATTGATCAGTTGATTTTGTTAGAATATATCATTAGTTCTTTTTGATCTTTTCAGAGAATTAAAAGTCTAAAATAATCATCTTGATCTAAATCTTTCTGATAATTAAAAAGAATAAATTTCTATTCTAAGCTGACTATGTTTAGACTCAGTATGTTATCATATCATCAGATTCTTGCTAAGCAAGTTCTACTCAATTCTGAGTAGAAAGAGTAGGATGAAGCTTAGTATTATATTAGAATGCAATTGAAAGCTGCATAAGAAGAAAACTTTCTACATTACTAATTGTCAGGCTATCTGCCTTCTTATGTAATCCGCACTGTATATAACTTCCGCATAGCTAGCAATCACTTCATAATCAATCAAGCAATCTATTCTTCACAGGTTATGAGACCTATTTTGCGCAAATAACTGCCAATTCAGGGAATTCTTATCAAATATAGTGTATATTAATCACTACTTACTTTATTCAATATAATATTGTCTTATTTTATATCAATTGATCAATTTGATGTACTCTTATATTATTTTTTTTTCTGTGTTTAATCTGTTCACTTAGTGGGTGAAAAAATCTGCAACTCACTAATTTTTCAGTGACTGATCACACAAGAACATGTCAATTCACTTAATCAAGCTTATAGGCAAGAATCTCACTGAATAAGATTACTCTATTATATAGAAAATTAATATGATATGGCAGAACATATGATGACTCACTCACAGTCATGATTGAGTCAATTCAGCTAATCTGACTAATCTGAAAATGATCAGAGGGGCATGAGCTCACTGACCCCCCCAGGGGTGTTCAAGAGTTCCAATATTGGACTTTTTGAAATGCTCAATCAGCAAGCTGAGCTGATTACAGCCTCTATCATGGTGAGGCCAGTCTGCCTATGTCGTGTTGAATATGCTGATCCAACTCCTTCAGAAGATGAGGTGAAGATGCCTGCAGTGATCTCTAACCTGCTGCCAGCAACCAACTCTGAGGAATTGCAACTGGGGAGATTGAATCTCAAATGTCAAAAAATTGATTTAGAACTTCAAAAAGAGAGGTGCAAAGAATTGCAGCTTCAACTTCAATTGAAGAGGCTCTACACTCAGAATGACAGAGCTGTGATGCCCACAAATCCACTAGTGGGTTGACCATTGGCATGAGATCTGAACTTGAGGTCTCAAATGCAATATAACCTCTATGACCTGGATAGCTGCATTGGCAAGGCAATCAGCCAGTTCAAACAGAATACTAAGTATGCCATCAAGCTGAACACTCTGGTCAGATCTTCAAATTACCTCTCCTGGTATGTGAATATGAAGGCCAAGCTAATTGATGCTCAATACTGGGTTATATTAGAGGACAAGCAAGTCAAAAGCCCTGATGAGAACCCCAAATGGGCTTCTTTTTGAAAGGTCAAAAATCACTGGCTTTATACATTCATTTCAAATGTGTTGGCAGCCAGCATTCAGCTCTGTTTTAATAAGTATGATGAGGGCAGGATCACTTATTCTCTTTGACACACAGTTGAGAAGAAGTTCTTCATTCTGAGAATGCAGCTCTGCAGGGAAGCAGTCTTGGCATTTACATCAATGAGTGATGTTCATGTCACTAACATACACATATTTTTCAATAAGTTCAATGATGTTATTATGAAATTGGAAATACTTAATATTTTACTGTCAAATAATGTGGTATTCCACATGTTCTATTCTGCACTTCTCAATATATAGTGAAACTATGTGCAAAAGAAAATTGAGAAGGTACAAGAGTTCAAATTGAAGTCTGTCATGTTGGACATTAATTTGATTATGAAGGAAATATACTCTCAATTGAACCCTCTCAAAGAGGCAAAGAAGGTCATCCAGGCAGCTAATTCTTCAGCCAACATGGCTCAGATCTAAAATGCAGCTGCAGGTTTCAATAACAGCAGCAACATCCAAAATAATTCAGCCCATAAGGGCTGATCCAGGGGACGCGGAGGCTATCAAATGGGCAGATGTTCAAATTTTGACCTCTCAATCTGCCTGGAATGTTAGCATCATCATGGTAGGCTCTGCTGGGCAGCCAATCCAGATAGTGCTTCTGAAGAATAGAGGACCACCAACACAGCAAGAATAGGAAAATATAATAATAAGATGAGTATTGAGGGTAAAAAGGCCCCATCAACTGCAAATAGCAGCTTTGAGATATTCCAAATGGTGAATCTAGTGCAGGTCATTGGGGTGCCTGTGTACTCTGCTGAACCAATTGCCAATCTGCTCATCATATGGAATAGTGAGGCCAGATGTCATATTGCATGTGATCAATCATGATTTTTCTGAATAATAGAGGTTAGTAGCCCTACAATTTAAGTGGCCAATAAGACTACTTTGAAGGTTCAAGGAATTGGGGTTGCCTCCATCCCAGTCAGAGAAAGATTAATCAAATTCAACTATGTCTATTTGATGCCAGACTTATCCGCCAACCTCATATCTGCTGGCCTATTGGAGTGCCAGGGCTATATTCACCATGATCTGCAGATGGATGCTGAAAATTACTTTGAGATAATAGCATCTACAGAAAATGACATCTTCTACATGAATTTGAATTTCAATAATATATATGTTCTATCTGACACCTTCTCTATGTTCAGAGGTATTATGAATGATCTGGAGCTTGAATCACTGACATACTTGATGGTCTCAAAGCCCAGGGCAATTTCAACAGATTATGATCTGAATGCTGCATCACTGGGTCTTTTCAACTGCAGTGATATGGAGCAGCTAATTAACCTGAAGGATCTAAATACTGATACCTTCATTTTGTCCCCATCAATATGACTACCTGCCATTATGCTGAAGCAGCTACTGATTGATGAATGGCATTAGCAATTGAGTTATATTGATGAGAAGAATCTAATTAAAATGTCACAGAAGTTCTGTTTCAGAATTGCCATCATCAGTCTGAAGAAGCTCTCATTCTGCACTATGTGTGTTAAAGTCAAGCATAAATGTGCAAGTTATAAAAACACTCTGCTATGCCATGCCACCCACAAAAGTCTTAAGATCTAGATGGACCTATTTAGAGGTGGAGAAACACTTGATAATAAAGAAGATACACCATCTTATGTGGGTAAGAAGCTTGTAATAGTGATCACTGACAATGCCACACAAATGCAGTGGACCTTTCTATTGGAGTGCTGCAATGAAGCTCTAAAATATATACAGATTTTCAATCAATTTATGAAGAATCTGCTCAATCATGATGTTGCAATTATTCACTCTGACTGCAGCAAGTTGAATTCAAACACCGCAGCCGTCTATATGATGAGTGAGAGTATTAAATGGGAATCAACCCCGCCCTACACTCTGCATCAAGATGGTATGTCTGAATATTCTATTAGTCTGATTATTGAAAAAGTCTGAACATTATTAATAGATTCCTTCCCCCCTCTTCAGATGTGGGGCGAGGCAGTAATTGTGGTGACTGAAATGCTTAATCTTATACCAACATCAGCCAAGCTCTATAACAGTATAGAGGATCTGAATCTGAAGCTGGTCATCTCATATGAAGCTTGACTCAGAGCCTTGCCCTCTGCACATGAGATTCACCAATAGGAGTGCAAGGCTTATTTAAAAATAGTACTCAAGTTAAATATGAAAATGATCTTGCAATCACAGGAGCTTATATTTACAGACTATGATGGCTTTACTAATTATAGATTGGTCAATTCTCCTAACAGTTATCTTTACATGTCAAAAGACATGATATTTCAAGAAGATCTTCATTTGATGAATCCTCTGGCTCTGTCTGAATGAGGTGCCAAGAACCTGCCTTCCACTGCCTGTATAGTTGTGGTTGCAATTCCCTCCACTCAACATGATTTATCAACAGATAATTTTATGATGAATGAGAAGTTTCTATCTGCTTCTCCAGTATTTCTACACTCTATAAATAATTGATAGATAGACTATGAGATTACTATGTGAATTCTGACATTTTTAATGCAGAACACTACTGCCCTCTCAGAGTCCACTTTAGAGACAGAGAATTCTTCAATGCTCACTGAGAATATTACTTCAGTCAGAGAGGCCTCAGTGAGAGATTTCATCAACAATTTGACTGATGTCCCTGCAGACTCTGAGATTGCCAGCTTGTCAGTTCTGAAGAACCTCATCTAGGCTCAGATATCTGCAGATTAGAAATATTACTTCCATGTCTGCATTAAGAAGATTAACTGTCTCAAGCAGATTAGTGCATAGTGGCTAATTGAAAGGACCTCAGATATGACAATTCTACATGATCAATGAGTGTTCAATAAAAAGATTAATAATGCAGGTAGAATTGATTAATATAAGACTCACTAAGTAGTCTGCAGCAATTATCAAGAAAAGAGTGTCAACTATTCAAAGATATTTGCACCAGTTGTATCAGCCTCCACCTTCTAAGCACTTATGGTGATCTTGGTATTCTGAGGATGATATGTTCTTCAGATTGACATGGTTATAGCATTCTTAAATGCTCAGCTTTCTGCCAATAAACATATATATATACATCAATCTGCTGGGTTCCGCAAGGGATGCAGCAATCTGATATGTGAATTGATGCAGGGACTATATGATCTGAAGCAAGCAACATTATTATGATATGAGAAGCTGTGAAAAATGCTATTGAAAACAGACTTCTGTGTCAGTTCTCATGACACTGATTTTTTCACAAATGACATCTGCAAGGTCTATATAATTATCTATGTGGATGATATTCGTCTATATAGTCTGAATATATCAGATATTGAATGGACAAAAGCCCAGATCACCGCTAATTATGAGATCAAGAATGTGGGTGATTTGAACTGATATTTGGGTATGAAGATTGATCAGAATGCTGAATCATTATCACTGTCCCAGTCACTGTTCATAAAGAACCTGCTTAAAGAATTTTCAATGGATAACTGCCACTCAACATCCTCTCCTATGGAGGAGAATGTTGATTTTATGAGTGATAACAAAGAACTGATTGCTTATACAGTGGAATTTACATTACATTTCTACTAATTGAGGGTTGGCTCTCTGCAATATCTCACTGCCAACACACACTCTAATATAAGCTTCACTGCTGGCTTTCTAGTGAGATTCAGCTTCTATTCTATCTCAAAGAATTGAACAGCATTCAAGCAAATTCTTAGATATCTACAAGACACTCCCAACATAGGTGTGTCCTACTGAAAAGATGTGGATATAGAATCTGTGGCATTCACTGATGCTGATTGAGTGGGCTGTGATCCAGGTTCCCACTCCATCATCAGATATGTCATTTATATGACAGGGGGTTCTGTTGCTTGGTGAAGCAGCAAGTAGACAGATATTTTGAAATCATCTACTAAGGTCAAATATATCACATCCTCAGAGGCTGTTTATGAGCTTGTCTGCCTTTAGAAATTGCTGGAGGATGCTGGCTTTGTGCCATCCTAGCTTAATAATCTTGATGATAATGATAGCCCAATTGAATCACCAGTCAATAAGCTAGTGTATACAATTCAAATGGATAATAAATCAGCAATTGAACTGGTCAAAAGTGAGGCTATTCCACATCAATCTAAGCATATAGAGATCTGCTTCCATATTCTTCAGGATCTCATCTGCAAGAATGAGATCTCAATTGATTACGTTCTGTCCGCTGAGAATGCAGCAGACAGACTGATCAAGCTGCTTGAGATGACTAGATACACTCTATGACAGCAGATATTAGAAGATGTGGTAAGCAGGCAGAAATGATTATATGGAGGAAATGACTGGTTTTTCAACAATACAGGTTTTCCAGTCAAATTATGTACTGATACCTAGCTACAGGCTATTTTTTGCATGTAATCTCGCGTACAGTTACATCAGTGAGTGGGGGTGTCAGGCCTATCCGCCTTCTTACGTAATCCGCACTGTATATAACTTCCGCGTAGCTAGTGATCGCTTCATAATCAATCAAGCAATCTATCCTTCACACTAACTGCTTTATAACAGAATACTAAGCTTGATGGGATGAAAGAAGGTGCTGGGGCCTGCCCACATTATAACAACCTGCATGGTCACGTGATGAGGGTTAGGCCTAATCGGGCGTCGAGCCTAATCCAACGTCGAGCTAATCGGGCGCCGGGCCTTGGTCAGGCTCAGTGGGCGCTGAGCCTAACAATATTGCATTTATTTCAAAAGTACTATATATCATTACAAATATTATTTCTTGAATTAGTTTGCTTTTTCTTCTGAATATTTTGAGTTTAAGTTTATCTCACTATGAGAAGAATTTTTTTCTTTCACATTGAGTAGTTAACAAAGTCAATCAATATAATAGATTTTTTGATTAATTTTACTTAATCTCTGAACTTATCAAGTAATTTAACTAAAATCAATGTTCTGCTCATCTGTTATAAGTATTTAGTTAGATCTAAGCTGAAATTATCATCATTAACAAAGATTTCATTGACTCTGCTAGCTTTCATTTATTCAACTTCATATTGAAGTCTGATAATCTTCAATCTTTTATATATATCTTTACTCACATCAGTATGATCTTTATAATCAACTCTATTATCTAACATCTTATTGCTATCTTACATTTTATCATTATTAGTTAAATCTTTATTATTTATACTTGAGTTGTTAATTATTCTTCAATTGTCTCATTAGATTCAAATATCGCTAAGATAGCTATTCTTTATTCAGTTGCAGATGTAGACAAATCTATATTCAATTTTTATATTTCTAATATTTTTGAATTTCTTCTTCTACATGATGATATATATTCTTTTATTAAATTAAATAATTTATCATATCTTAGATTGATTATTTAATTTTATTAATTTTTTATAATAAAATATTTAGATATATATATATTAATATATAAAAATATATTTAGTATATTATTACAGTAGTTTTTTATAATTTTCTCAAAATCATAATCTATGAGAAAATATTATTATTATATATTTATTAATAACTATATAATAATAATATATAATATGATATGATTATATGATAGAGTAGCTATAGTATTCATCAACATTATAAACTATAAAATAGATTACATGATAAAGATAGATCTAATTTAATACTGAGTCTAATCTGATACTAAGTCTTAGTACACTGAGTTTAATACTTTTTAGCAATAATCTATTAACTGCATTAAAAAAAATAATATACTAAGAATAATATACTAAGGAAAAAAATATATAAATAGAGTCTTTCTTAAAACTATCTTTTAAAAATTATTTTATTATTTTATTGAAGTAGTTTATCTAGTTGACAATCAAATATCTATTTATTTATATATAGATTGAAGTTATAATAATTATAACTATCTAGTTAAATTAATGAATTAAGACTTTTATTTTTATATTATTATAACTTTAAATTAAACTATGATACTTAATATTTTATTAAATTATCTTATTTAATTAATAATTAAGTATTTATTTATCAATATCTAGATTAAAGCGGTGATAAATTAAAAAGTAAATGTAACTTAAATATATTATTATTCAAAAGATAAATTATTTAAATATCTATTTTAATATATATATAAAAGTCTTTAAGACTCAGAATATATAAGCAACTTCATAACTAATGAAATAGTCTTATTTGACTTAGATTTAGTTCTTTAATAGTTTAATATTTAATTGTACAGCTGTGCAACCTACATCTTGTGTGGATGTGCTACATCAAAATGATAAAAATACTGAAATGATAAAAATCTTATAATTTCATCATTTTCATCATCTTCATCAATTAATAACTCACTACAATATTAAATAAGAATAAAAATATCAAAGACTGTATTCAAAAAGCTGTCACTTATCATCAAAAAAACACAAATTTCAAAATACTGTCTCTGTCATGAGAATTTGAGGTTTCTTATCAACATCTCTAAGTGCATATCAATGGAAGGAATCTGAATACTGCAAAGATTCCAGTTAATAAAAGATTAAATGAGAGTTAGAAGAATGCAATTAAATAATCAGTCAAGTTATTTGATGAAAAGAATTATTCTCTCATAGTTGAACATATTGAAGATTTTATAAATTCAATGCTCAGATGTTAGCATGTAGATTCTACTATCTTTTCTTCAAAAGTCAGCAAGATGTGAACTTACAGATTCATTGAACATATATCTGAGTATAAGAAGATGAAATAGAAGTCAATGAATTCAAAGAGAGTGACAGTTGAAGATATTAAATATATCAATACATGATTTGAACATCTTCAGATTTTATTTAAGCAGTATTAATTTCACATCTGTGATATATACAACTTCAATGAAATTGATTTTCAAGAAGGACAAGGATGTGGAGAATGAGTTATAACTGCTTTTAAAGAAGCTAATTTCATCATTTCTTCATCCTTTTCAAGAGATTTAATTACAGTCATTGAATGTATATTCATAGATAATCATAGTATTTTGTTATTGATAATCTTGGCCTTCAAAACACACTTGAAGAATTGATATACACAGATAGATTTGCTCAGCAATTATAGAATTGCTATATCAGATACTGAATTTACAAATGATGAGATTGAATTTGAATAACTTAAACATTTTAATACTACTATAGAAAAGAGACAGAAAGAAAGTCATTAATTACTTTTAATGAATAATCATGAATTTCATATCATTGAGAAGTTCATACAATATGCAGATCTTCATAAGATAATTCTATATGAATTTTTATTGCATGTCATTCATTTGCTACAATCTCTGAATAGTTTATCATTTCAACAATATAAGCATTATTATTCAAAAGCAGTCAACTATGCTGCACATCATGGTTTTGTTAAGTATAAAAAACAGCAGTTTCTACAAGACCTCTCAGCTATGTGAAAGCAGATCTTTAAATCTGATACAATAGCTGCAGAATGAGCTCAACATGTGTAAGAGGTTGAACCCCTAGATTCGCTCTGGCTGGCTGACTCAGCCTAGCCATCATTTGCACGTGCGCACGTGATCACGCTACGCGAGCTTGCTTAAGCTCGAGTTCTCATCTCATTCTTTTCTTCCCTTTCTCAAGCAATTCGTCCTTGTTATATAGGAGGACTAGCCTCTAGTTCTTAGAGCTTAACCCTTTACAACATGACATATATTCATGAAATTTTGACTGAGTTCTTGACACTCTTAAGCAGTGAATCTCATCACCTCCTCCACTGCAGATTTATAAAGATGAGAATGATTCAGATTACATATCTATCTCTTTCTCTCAGCTATTCTCATTAAAAATAATTCAAAAGCTGAAACATCTTATTGATATTGCAGAAAACACCATATAAAGTATTAAAGATACTTTTGATTTAAAATCACTCATCTTAACATGTCATTTGAATAAGATATTCAAAGCAAGTCTAATCAATATGAAACTTAATAAGCAGCAGATTACTGAATTAGAGAACTTTCTCAATATCAATAAACACCACAGAGCTAAAACAACTCATCATCAGATTCAAGTAGAGGAAGTCCTCACTATTAAATATGTCAATAGAAAAATCAAACAGCATAAGAATAATGAAGCTGAAAAAGAGCAGAATAAAAAGTGATAGAGACTTAAAGTTGATCTTATGAAAATTGACAAAAACTCACTCACACCACTGACAGAAGAGAAATTAAATCAATTTAAAGATGACTCACATACTGAGAATGATGTAGATAATCTTTTTATTATAAATTAGCTACTAATTGTTGATATAGAGTGCAATAATGAGGGTGTGATTCAAGATTTTAATCATTTTAGTGTTTTTATCGTTTTGATGTGGTGCATCCACAGGAGGTGTGAGTTGCACAGCGGCATGATTAGTGTAAAACTTTTATCTCTCCAGTCAACAAATCTAAGAGTTTTATATTATTTGAAATACTTTAAACATCTTATAATCCACTGGAATTGAATAAGCAAATGAATAAAATCATGAATCTAATAAGATAGTGATTTGAGAGTCCTTCTTAGAGCCTAGTGAAAGATTTGAAATAAATTATTAAAGTCTGTGAATATGAAATAACACCACTATAATGAAGAAGTAATATCAGTGTTTATTTGCTGCAATAAGAAAGAGAAACAAAAACACAAGAGGTCTACTCACAGGACTAAAAGCGCAGGGGATGAAGCTTAGAATCTTATTATTTCATCCACTGAACTTGTTGAATGACCTGTTATTCAACCTTCTGAGCCTCCACGCTCTGACCCTTTGCCATACTCAAGAATAAGGTTCCTGAACCTAGTGTAATTTAATTTAATTTAATTAGAGATTGATGAGCGTAGATAATTTAAAATAAAATCTAGCTGGTACAGTGATTTGAGTGTTCGCTTATTTGAGGTATTCACTCGTATGTGGATTACGTTAAGACCTTAATAAAAATGATAAATAATCGTGTCACACTCTACTCATCTCAGCAAAATTCAATGCAACGCAACACAAGACTCTATCAATAGATTGTATATAGCTATATGTATATCGCGCGCGAGATAAGATAGAGAGGTATTGGCTGGTGAATATGGCCGTGGAAGCGTGGGCGTCGCTACGGGGGTCAAGAAGACACTATTTGATAAGGTAAGAAAATAAAAGATAGCATAATAGGGGACGAGGGGAAATAGCTCTGTACATAGAGACGTGGTTATAACAATAGAGTACCACAAACAGAAAAAAAGACGATTAGTGAGAAGTCAAGAACAACAACAAAGGAAAAGGGGGAATCAAGAATCAAAGAATAAAAGGCAAAAGGTAAATAAAACAAGATAAAAGAATGAAAGTAAAAATCGCCGGCTTGTACATTTAAAAGCATGTCTTATCTTGAGAGCCATTGAAGCCACATGACAACCCATATGGGATAGCATATCAAGTGTCTATATCGTCTGCACAGGTGAATGCCGAGACAAGCATAGTTGGAAACCATTGATAGTTCGAGAAATCAAGCTTGAAAAAAAAAAAAAAAAAAAAAAAAAAAAAAAAAAAAGAGCAAAAAACGGATTTGTAGCCTTTTGTTTCCACCCAGTCCCTTTCTAAGCGTGAGACGAAAATAGCAGTCGATACTTCTCGTCACGTGTCTCGTACAGCCCGGCCTTGGACCTCTTGCCATTTATGATAGCGTTGAACTGAACACCAAGGATGGAAAATTTACCATTTCTTAGTTCCATCCCAGCGAATTCTCGGCCATTACAGGGGCACTGATCATCTGCGTCTTCCCACTCCCTGATCCACCACTATTATGGCTGTTCCGCGCATCATGCTGAATGGAGCTGACATTTCCGTCCCCGCGACCACCGGTCATCAGCGTGTCTGATGTGATCGGCCAGGGTTCAGGCGTACTATTATCTCCAATCCCGCTCGTCAGAGAGCTGGTGCGACGGTGCATCTTGCGCTTCTTGCGGTAGCGGCGTGCGACGAAGAACATTGCTGCACCATAGAGGGCTGCACCGCCGACGACACCGAGACCAATGCCAACCGAGGTTGCGCGCACATTGGATGAGCTGCCTGAGCCGCCGGGACTTTCATTCCCACCTGAGCCGCCATCGTTTCCGTCATCATTGCCACCACCCGGGCGACCGGTGAGGCCACCACCGAGCCCTCCTGTTTCCTGGCCGAGAGGGCCGCCGCCGGGAATCAGGGGGATGGACGGGTCAATCAGGGACATGAGCTGGGCAACGGAAGGGTTTGGGTGCTTGTAGATGAGCGAAAAAGGGTTGTGCAATGAGACAGAAAGTTCTGTCACGAGGTTCTCTGGGATGTAGATAAGAGCCAAAGTGGTAGTGTAGGTGTTCTTTTGGACTGTGTCGTATGGCTCGATGGATCGCATGACGGTGAGACTGCGGGAAATTTGCAGACCATACGAGATGCCGATTGGAGTGTAGCTGAAAATTTGAATGATTGAATCCCTGTTTTTGACAGCGAACTCATAGGGGAGCGAGCCGTTGAATCCGATTTGTACCAGCCTCGAGTCAGCTGGTGCTTGAGGAATGCCACCATCTGGAGATATAATACGGGGAATGGCTGTGGGTTTGTTGGCTTGCGATGTGTTTGGTGGGACAGGAGTTGGCTGGTAGACAATACTTGTCGGGATGTACATGGAAGTTAACGAATCTGTTGAGAGTGGCTTGGTCTCCGTCTGGGTTGGTGCTGGTGCACTTGGGGTCGGGGTGACCACATTTGTATTGGATGGAGACGGTGTCAAAGAAATTCCAGTTCTAGAAGGGCTTGGGTACGTTCCGGTGGGGATCGTTCCGGTGGGGACGACCGTTGAACTAGGAAAGATACCAGATGGAATGGAACTCGTGGTTGAGGTAGTGCTGTTGTTGGTCACAGGGGGGATCGGAGTGAGGGTAACTCTGCCGGTAGGAGGGATACTTGGGGAGCTACTGGGTGATTCCGTGGGCGATTCCGTGGGCGATTCACTGGTAGTTGACGAAGGAGGCACTACGGTGGGCAACTCGGACGTTGGAAGTAGTGTTGTATCTGTCACGTCCGATCTTGTAGTTCTGGAGGGTGAATGGGTGGATGAAGAAGATGGTTCAGAATTCGACGGGCTTGGGTCTGGAATAATGGTGGGAAGAGTAATAATTGGTCCCTGTGATGTCGTAGTTGGTTCTTCACGAGTAAAAGTTCCAGTGCCACCAGGAGCACCTGAGGTTGAAGTACCATCAGTCGGAAGCTGCAGGGTTGGAAGCTTGAGTGTGGGGAAAGTACTGGATGATGATACATCTTCATAGCTCGACGAGGAGGATGGGGTCACGGTCGGAGCAGTGGAACCTGTTCCTCGTAAAGTAGATGAAGAACTGTTGGACGAAACGGTCTCGGTCTCTGATTCCGATTCTGAGGCAGAGGGCGTGCTAAATAGATTCGGTAGACCAAGACTGAGATTGCCCATTGGCTTTGTGGCAGACGAACTGTTGGGTTCGCTGGCGGTAGTGATTCGGTGAGCTGGTCCATCGTAGGAATTTGACGGCCTGGTATTTAAAGGGGGGTCGTTCGAAGCGGTGTCGCTTGAAAGGGGCGTGCTCGAAGAAGTAATACTCGAAGGGGTGACACCTGTTCCTCCAGCAGCCTGGCCTCCTATCGTAAAAGGTTTGCCATCAGGACCTACGTAGACAGTGACGGGTATGACCACAACGGTGGTGTCCTGGTCATTCAATTGTGGAGCACGTTTATCCACGGGTGCTGGAACGGCAGAGCCGCGCTTTATTTCCCGCGGGAAGTAATATCGTGGTCGCGCTGGAGAATCTCCCGCTCCTCGAGCGTGACTTAGAGGAGCGTCCAAGGCACCCAGGGCCAGCAAAGCAGCCAAGATAGAATATCTGTTGGCCCGCATATTTGGTGGTTAGATTTAGGCTGTCCTTTAATTGGATTTCGTAATCGTCAATCCTGCAACCGCATATTAGATTTTGACACAGGCAGCCCACTATATGATGTTTGAGATAGCGGCCTCACCGTTAGAATATGGAGGAATAAAAACGAATGTAGGTGACCAAAAAAATTGTCAAATGATATTGATCTGTCTGGAATTAGTATATGCAGCATCATCGTCATGATGAAAAATGGCAAAATGAAGATAATGATAAAGATAACATGGTCGAACAAATGAGATAGGACATGTTGATGAGATTGATTGAGAAACAGGTGGGATGGATGAAAGCGCATACCTTTTCAAAGGAGTGGAAAGGGACAAAAGTCCCAGATATGAAAGAGAGTCGGCAGTAGAGTATCAAATTACTGCCTCACTCAATAATTGCGGCTGTGAGTGTGAATGAGTCTTAGTGAATTCAACACAAAGTAGCTGGGCGCAAAATCAGATGGAGTGAATTGTGTTCTTTTTTCTGTATTCAGCTTGATCTTTCCCTTGTTTGCCCAGATTGTCGTATCTCCATTAAGTCAAGCAATTGACATAAGTAATTATGGGAGATTATTTTTTAGAATTGACGACAGAATGCGATCGGGAGTATAGAAATTTATCAGAGCGAGACGGCAAAATGTTTTTGCGAATTGTTCCAACCACGGTAAGAGAGGCAGAAGACCAACGTCGCAGGTCCTTTGGGTCCAATTGCAGGTATGTTTTGGTTCCCCGTTATATATTAATAGGAACTTGGCAAGTAGCGAACCAGTCGTTCCGTTACGTGTCTCTTCGTCCTTGTTCTCGATTCTCCTTTTACATATGTATTGTTTCTCCGAAGCTAAAAGGCAGACATATCCGATGCTCGAACTGGTACGCTTGATTTCCACCCCCTCTTTTTATGATTCGTCCAGGGGAAGATATTAGATGGAATAGAGAACGTGGGGGAATCCGACTCAGCCAGAATCCGTTGGGAGGAGAGGGTGCGCGGGTGTTGAAAGGGTCACACACAATATTATTATAATATATAGACGGGTGAAACGAGCGGCACCCAAAGAAGAAGTCCTTGGTGTTGGAGATTGAAAGAGGGGAGAAAGGGCCTGCGGTAGGTTCTCTTTCAGTTACTTAAATCGCGCAAGGTGAGATGGGATAGAGCGAGCAGGGAGATGAGAAAGGAAGTGGAAGATCAACAACACGGACCGTCGAGAGTCAACGTGGAGGATGGATGATGATAAGAGAAGAGGAGGAGGAGGAGGAGGAGAAGGAGGAGAAGAGAGAATAGGCAAGGTTGGGAGAGGAGTGGAGGAGAGGAGTGGAGGATAAGAGGAATAAGTGTGGAGATTAATTGGATTGAGGTTGAGGCTGCTTGAGATGAGAGATGGGAACAGGGGAAGCGAAGGAGCGTAAGGTTCGCATTGAGCAGTTCCAATACGGAACAGAAAAAAACACGATCAAAACAGCGGACATGGGGCGGTCTGCAGCACTTTTTGGTCAGAGTATCAATACACGTAGAATACGAATACGGGCCAATCTCCCTGGGCACATTCACCAACGCTAGCGTGGGTACGGTGCGTATGGGCGTGTAAGCGTATATCCATTCTGCTGCTAAAGAAGAGGCATGGATTTATTTCAAGAATACAGCCAAATCCGCAACAAGGCAGTGATTGGCAGCCCAGTGTCAGCGATGGTCAGCTATGGTCCATTATTGGAGCCTTGGGAGATTCTGACGGCTCCACTCCGCCGAGCCCGTCGCAGGGCCCCAGTGTCTCCAATGATCCAGTGCTTATTGAGGTTAGGGTAGCCCGCCCCCAGAAAACACTTGGAGCCAAGGCTTGACCATTAATATTATTATGAAGACTCTGGATTTATTATTTCGCCCTTGATCCCCAGTCAAATAGACACAATTACATGTATTGCGCTGTAATGGATGTAGTGAACAGACCAACAACTTGGGTAGTGGGCACTTAATAATTATGAAGTATAGTTAGATATAACTAACTGTACGGTATTGGAATCCGTTGGGCACGGAACCTTTTTGTGTTCAGGTACAGATCCATGGATCCTTGGAACAGAGCCAGTCAAAGTCTGGTCTGCCGTCCTGTGAACCATGGAAACTGCTCGCTGCCAGACCAACCAAGGGATAATTCTGGTCCTTGTACTCTGTGTTTCTCCGTGTAAGATGATAACAGAGCGTATTGGTTTGTATAAATTCTGAATTCTTAACCACGAAATATGCAGCTGGCTCCCTGCTGACATATCATTTATTATTGTTTACTCCGTATCCATTTTAGCAGCCCTTCTTTGGACAGACAGTGAACTCGCGCCACATTTTCAAGGGGTGTTAATGTTCACCGTATCCTAGGGACAACTTGATTACGTGATATAGTCTACTTTTTTGAGCAACATAACTAGTTAGTTAAAGTAAAAACAGCTTGAATGTCCCCCCTATTCGGCAATCATATATGCAAATTGACATTAGACCAGACTTGCACCGCTACATTGAAAGTTTGAGCAAAGTCAAATAACTACAGAGTTAGCTAGCTCTACTGAATAGAGTTTTATCACGTGGTCCAAGTAATCTCCTTCTGCCTAACGGGGAAGCCAGTACAGAGTACAGAGTATTATATCCATGTTCCATATACCCGTCATATTATATCCCCCACGTCAGCGGGCAAATTATCATTAGCAAGGGTGAACAACAAATGGATGCTACCATTCTCTTGGGCCTAGGAATTTGATCCAACTGTGATATCTCGCTGGTGCCAAACTTACCAAGTGGTGTTGTAATTCGGCTAAGACAGCTCCTAGGGGCAAGAAAGTGAAAAGGGAAGAGGAAAAAATGGGGAAAAGTGCATGAGAGTCCAACGGAAATTTAGGCCTTGGAATTTTTCAAGGTTTTCTTGTTCTCTTGGACAGAGTGAATCCTCCATATATAGACGACATTGGGCTGATTCAGTGATTCTCCTGACCGGGTCCAGGGACCAGGGGAGGAGCGCTTCTCTATATATGAAAAACCCAAGCTCATTGGGAAGAGTCGGCGAGGAATGTCCAGTCTAGTTACATTGGCGAATGGATATTTGTTCTTGTGGGATGTCTCCAAACAAGGAATCATGTTTCTAATGGTGTTCATAATAAGGATAGGTCAAGAAACCGTTTCAAAATGAAATGTTATGCTCAAAGTCAGTGCGCGGTTGAAGCTCTGCTCAGAGAGAAGAGAAACCTCAAAACATTTGTTCTGTTCTCTCCTCTCCCTTTTCTATCTTTTTTACTTCTCTTTTCCACCTTGATGTCTCAGTCAAAAGAGGAAGCAAGGACATGCCCTTCACCCGATTCAGATTCATGGATTCTGGAAAATAGCACTGCTTAAAAGAATTCGAGTCTAGAGATTGACAAGCCATTGTCAAATTTTATTATTTATTATTTATTATTTGTTATTATATTAATTCAAAAATCTAAGAGTAAAACCAGTTCGGATGTTTCTGTGTGCCGTTGCACTTCAAGCTGCCACTGTAAGTTTATATCGGAGATCTAGGCTGTGCCACATTCCATACGGATTATTCATCCGCAGACTTGCAGCTTTTGACAAAGCCTACGTATGGTTTCTAGGATAAATGGCAAGGAAATAATAAATATATCTGTGAAAAGATATCGACTTCATTCAGACCTTCAAGCTGGATCAGTCATGTTCACATCCTTAGCCATGATGTTCGCGCAACTTTCTGCCCACTCTTAGTGTCGGTAGTTATGATACAGCTCTCTTCTGCTAGAGAATCCATGGTTTGACACGGGCCGATTTCAGGCACCAGGAGTACGTTCCCTTCAAAATGACTAGTTATATGTTGTAGTTATACATATAACAAATCAAGCAATATCATTGTCACATATGCAGTTTCTTTTCGAATAAGATATCTACCTTCACTGGCGCTGTTTTGTTCCTTCTCAGCTCATTCCCCAATCGTCCCTCATCGACCCCGAAGGGAATCGTAAACATAAACTTGGTGATCCTTTTAAGCAGCATAGGCTTCAAAGTACAACGACCATGGATAACATAGCACAGCAGAGCAGAGAGGCATGCAGGAACAGAAATGCATTGTTAGAGATAGTTCAGACACCACAGAGAGCCAGAACTGCTTTCTCTGGTTTTTTGTCGAAACCAAGGTCTTCCTTTCGTACGTGCTGCTTGAATGGGAGTGTATTTTGACATGAAGATATCACAGACTGAAAATTTGAACTGTGTGCAAATAATCATTTGAGTCCACCATGAAAAGGGTTCTATCCAAAGGCTACAATCCTAATTCTTGAAAAGTCCTTTCCATCTTTCTCATCGATCAATCACTCCAATAATCATTAAGTCATTCATTCGCAAATCACAAATCTGCAAACGGACGATCTGCATTTGGTCAGTCTATCTGTCTCCTCTGTAATTCATTCCTCTCCCTGTTACAGATTATCTGTCGTGAAACGCCAAGGAGAGTGTTGAGTATGAATTGCTGGATTCATCATACATACATACAAGTCACAACTTTCACGGTGACAATGGGTTCAGCGGACGGGAGTCCTTTGGCACTGACGAGGCAGCACAGCCATTGTTGGTAGGCCCAGGTGGTAGTTAAGATTAAGAGGGCACGGAAATATAAAATACAGACCCCATTTCAATTCTTAAGGAGGCGAGGCAAAGGTCGCTTAAACAATGGATGTATGGAGTATGCATGCATTTCTTTATATTCATTAAATTTTGGATTCATTAGTTAACGGAGTATCCCGATGCAGAGCTGTGTGAGAGAGGGAATTAATACACAGTTTTTTTTCTTCTCTTTTCTTTTCAGACCGACGGAGCAGCTGTAGATTCTTTTGAGCCTCTTAATGATGAAATTCAAATTCTTATTAAAGAATTGTTGTCACGAGGCTTGCAGGATGCTGATATTCTATTGATTATTAAAGAAAAACATCCTGATTCTCAACTTTGTATACGTCAGCTTCGTCAAATTCGGCAGCAGTTAAAACTTCCTCAGCGAAGAGATAACTGTGAGAGTGATGAAGTACAGAAAGAGCTTATATCAACTGTACAGAAAGAGCTTGACAGTGGATTTATTCAGGGATTTGGAAGAGAACATTTGTACACTCATTTTCGACAGCAAGGGCATAGCATTTCACGGTATGTTTTGATTGATTAATATATTGATTAGTATAATACTAATAAAATCAGAGATCGTCTATTCAAAACAGTTCAGCTTCTCGATCCAGATGGAATTAAACGCCGACTAAATGATCTCCAACGTCATCGAGGATCGTACATTGTTCCAGGACCAAATTATCTATGGTCTATTGATGGTTATTGCAAGCTTCAACACTGGGGAATTGAAATCTATGCAGCAATTGATGCATACTCCCGATACATCGTGTTGATATATATTGGAATCACAAATCGAACTGCTGCTTCTGTTCTTCGACAATTTCTTGATGTTCTTCAAGCCACCTCTACTTTTCCTCAGATTATTCGTTCAGATCGAGGAACTGAAACATCAATGATTGCTGCTGCACAACTCAAACTACATCAAGCAACTGAATCAAATACTTCTTTGAACGAGTGCTATCGATTTGGAACAAGTACACTAAATCAACGGATTGAATCTTGGTGGGGACAACTTGCAAAACAGTTGACAAATTACTGGAGGGTATGAAGCCTGAGTTCCATATTCTTTCTACTAATTATTATACTTATCTTCTCTCAGCGCTATTTTCTGAATCTCAGTCATACTGGTCTATATCACACCAATACATTATCTGATCGTATTGCCTTTCTCGCCGTATATATGCCAATTATTCGACAAGAGGTGACAAACTATGTGAGTGTCTGGAATAATCATCAAATTCGCACTTAACGTAAACGACCTGATGGAGTATATGGACGGCCCTGGAAGCTCTATTATCATCCTGATAATGCATTACAGTATGATTTAAAACCAGATTCACAAGTACTTTCAGAACTTCATATGCACTTTGAAAACTGGGGTATGTAATATCTTTGTTGATCTAATATTATATATACTAATACTTGATAGATATTAATGAGTATCTACCACTGGAGACAAAGAATTGGTGTCAGAATCAGATTTCAAAGTTGGGATTTTCTTCTGGAAGAGTCACTGCTGCAGCAGTCAATAAGCAGGGTGAACGTTTACATAAGATAATATATCTTCAGCTACGAAAACTTGTACATGATCATATAAGATCTCAACAAGTTCCTATTCTACAGGAATCTGAAAAACCAACTGGGGCTTGGGACTGGCTGACAGAGCGATTGCAGGAGCATGAGATGAATTTTGATAATGTGATGGAAATGAACATCTATGATGAGAATAGTGGAGATGTTAAGCCAGATGTATTATAGATGTATTCTACTACTAGTAATATTCTCAAGAATATACTTTTTTATGTTCGTTACTATAACAATTATTCTATAAATTCTATATTGTAGTGCTTCACGAAGATTGAACTAGATATTGTGAAGGATAGATTGCTTGATTGATTATGAAGCGATCGCTAGCTACGCGGAAGTTATATACGGTGCGGATTACATAAGAAGGCGGATAGGCCTGACAGATACATATATATAATGTATGTACACTGCATATACAAAATATATATATCTATTTATATACTCAAACACTTTGTAACTTGAAAATTATAATCATTCATAGTTATGTATTCATATCTAAAGTTATTAACAGTATTAAAATATATATTAATTAATAATTCTCTTTCTTAATTGATACTGAAATACTCCATTGCATGTACATCAAAATAGGCAGATTTTATGTAATATTACTCATCACATCCATCACTCTCAAAGTAGTTAGTTATTATACTAATCAATATACTAATCAAGTTACCGAAATCCACACTCACACACACACTCAAATCTTCTTATTCTTCTCTTTATTGTTGATTATCAACTTTATTTACTTCACTATGTGGACACCATTCTGCCCCAATCGTCCTGGATTTTCCCATGAAACACACTGTAGTGGTGAAGCTGCCTGTTCATATTGTGGTCAAGCCAATCCATCCACAACAAAATCCTCCATCATCTCTTCAACAAATGATGAAATCATTGTCATTGAAGATAGTCTCAGTCCTCCGGCTCTGACACCATCACTCTCCATCTCAATTCTTGATCCTGGGCCTCCTCAGCGAGCACGTCAACTGGCAATTCAAAAAACACAAAAAGTTCAACAAATGACTCCCAATGCCGATACACCAATTCAACGTACATCACCTATAAAGGAATCTGCCACCAAATCCGAGTCGAATCAACTGTCCTCATTGCAGAAAGCCTATGGCAGACTTGTGGTTGAAAGCCGAAAAATGAATTGATTCCTTCTAACATTTCTCTACGTTCCGTTCCCCTTGCCGCTTCTGGCCTCACTTGATGTGTTAATATGAGGTGGGGGGGTATTCAGGTCTTTCTGAGGTCGTTGCTCTGAAGTAGTCAACTACCCCGGAGGGGCATTTGAGTGTTTACCAAGAAGCCAGTTGCCATGTGCTGCTATGCACAGCTGAGTAGGATGTGGAATGGAAGAAAGATGAGATAATTACGATACTGGATGCCGGAGGACAGACAGAGCGAGATGCCTTCTGAGTGGAGTTAGAACAAAAGATTAAATTTTCGAATTAATATAGTTAGTTAAACAACTTGATAACTACTAGATCAGGTCAAACTTTTCCAGATGGAATGCCATCCATAATAAATTCGGCAAGCATATATCCTTCAAACGGGAGATCTCAGAAATCACGTAAGTAATTATATCTCATACCTCCATCCGTTCACTTTAGGAGCCTACCTACCCACCTTAACCTCGACACGACGAAGGCATAAAACGGGCCCGGAAGCCTATCGCCCCTCGAGCCCCCGTGAATCCCTGAGGTCCCAGCCCATCGTGTCCGCCTGTGCGGAAGTACTCAACAACCACCCGAGGGCATAACAGGCGCCCGCCGCGACACCACCTGTCAGCAAAATGCCACGCATGGCCTTGCGGAGGAAGTGGTTTTGTTTCTCGTTATTTGGGGGAGGTGGGGTGGAGGAATCTTGTTTCCCCTCCTGCTGCTGTTTCTGCTGCTCGCTATCTTTAAGGTGAGAGGAGGGCGACTGATTTTGCTGGCCGTGAGGTGAAGTAGATGTCTCTGGGTCTATAATACCCTTGACGGATTGGAAGGATGGCTCTTGGTTCATCTTTGATATTGAAAACAAAGACGAAGCAGGCACTTCGGCTGTGAGACATCCAGAATCGAACTGATCAATGGATTGCCGTTCGAACTTTGCAGCTTGCACTTCAGAATGTAGCATGGCTTCATCCCTACCGTCTGTCTTCTTCCCCATCACCACTTCCGGGGTATCTGGTATCCCAAAACCAGCAGCATTCCCACTTCTTTCCCTTACTTTTTTAAAAATAAGAATATCCCCACCCCCAGATACAATCTCGTAACCTTGGCCTTCCAAACGCGGGAAATGTTCTAGGAACCGTGAGGGGTTGTTGAGACGCGAGAGCGCCTCTGTCGGATGCAATTGTTGCGTGATATCGCCCGAGCCTGAGTGGCTGGATGAAATGCCAATGTCTTTGACTTCCATTGTTAGTGAGTCGTAGGCCAGAACTCTGTATTGAGAAGGGGAGGAAATTTTCCCCTTTGTTTGAGGTAATTCCCTTGTTGGCTTTTTGTTGGCTCGATCACTAATGGACCGCATTCCCTGCATGTTCTCGCCCAGTTCTCTCAGAACGGAGCTGATGGAGGTGTTAATGTTTTTGACCTCGGTCAGAGTTTCTCCAATGGTAGCTAGCTGCTTCAGACATTCTTCCATACTGGTTTTCATCTCCTCTGATAGGATGGGGACGTCTCCACTGTCGCCTTGGGACCTTGAACTTGTCGCTATTTCGTACTGAGCACTCTTTTCTGTCAAAAGTGCGCTCATCGAGTTGGTTTTCTGTTTGATTTTTCGCAATTCCTTCGCAATATTTCCTATTTGACTATGAAGCTTAGCCTTGCTGCTACTTACCCCAAAGACGGGATGGATCTTGTCGCTTTCGGAACTGCTGGTGGTCACAGTTCTATCCGCACGATCGCCTATGTCATGTGTATAGATGATTTTTCCATTCTTTCCCCCTCGGCCATCATCGTTATTAAGTTGTGAGTTGACTCCCTTTGGTATCCGGTCTATTGCTGGCATCAATATAGCAGCAGTGTCCGTTGGAATTGCAATATTGGCGGACTTGTTATTCTCTGAACGAAGTTTCCAACGCAACTCGTCAACGTCCAAGCCACAACCTGCGTCATGAAGGGTTTGAAAGGCTGTTGCAGCTTCATATTGGCTCCCCTCCCGAGGTTCGAAAGAGGCTCGAATATCGCTGGCGCGTAGTTGATCCAAGCCTGCCTCAGATTGGCTACCGCTTCTAAAATTAAACAAGTCACAAACAGGTAACTCACTGGAGGGCTTGTCATTTCGCATATTACCAGAAGAAGAATTCTGCCCAGTCTTCTTCTTTGATTCTCTTGTGTTATCCTGAGCTTCATCTTTAGGAAGCGCCTTCATCAATTTGGCCAGACTCTCACGGCATGGTTGATAGCTGGCTGCAGAGTGTTCTACAGGAGTTTTATCGGTTTGGGAATTGTCCATATACGAATGGCCATTCTCTTCAGTCGTAGCTGCATCCTCTTTCTCAGGTCTGAGCGTAGCTATATTATTGCAGACTACCTGGTCAGGCTCACCCACAGACCATACATCTAACGTGTCAGGACCATTAGATTCAATGGTTCGCCCTTTCGAATCAAGGTTTTGATCTGACTGGGAATTGGACGTTTCGTTGTCAGTTCCCAATTCTGCCTCGCCATCTCGCGGGTTAGCATATATTACAGTGGAGGAATCGTTCGCTTGATGGTCACTTGTTTTGGACTGGCGAGTGGCCATCTTCCCACTGATGGGATCAAATTTAAATACAGCATCGGTCGAAGTGCTGGTTGATGGCGAAGGACCTTCATCGATAGTCACTTTACGAGGAATCGTCACCGAATTTGCCGTTGCATCGATCGTTGGCTTCCTAGAGACCTCAAAAGAACTTGAGGAGGGATTGCGACCCCGATGATTACCATCACCAATAAGGGACCTACAAAAAGATAACCAGGACCCTTCTTCCAGACCAAACGGAAAATGTTCCAATCTTCTCCCGAATATCGCCCCATAAGGATCACTATCAATAGCCCTCTTAAATTCCCGAAACTGCTGCTTTGAATCACGACGCATGGACTCCCCATATTCGCGTTCTTTACCGTCCCAGGACTCGAAGTCCTCTTCCTCTCCAGCGTTTCCATCCTCTTCAAACCACTTTTTAGACCATTGCTCGTTCGCCGCCCTGGGATGCTCGCGTTCAGCTGCCCCTTTCCCTGTCGCTTTGCTAATCTCCTCATAGACCTCACGTCGATTTTGAAAGCGAGTAATCAAGTCGGCACCTCGACATTTGTTGATTCTCCTGCTTTGATAGAGATACGGCCGTCGACGCATAGCATGCGTCAGGTATCTGTTGTAAAACGATCGTATTTCTTTTTCCTTTTCCATTAGTCGCTGCAGTCTAGAGTATGCCTGCGACCTCCATTCTGGGTCACGATGGCGACCCCACCAGAATAGTGACCTTTGCTGGTAGGTTAAGAGAAGGGTGGGAGAGCGGAAGGTGATGGATGCTGAACAAATGGATGTTGAACGAACTGATATTGCGGCATGCCGGGGAATGAGGCGGCTCGATAGAAGAGCTGAAGACTCCATATTTGATTTGATTACAATTCCGGTAGATCACTGGTGGTTGTTTGAAGAGTCAATTCTCAATAAGCTAGATTGTCCTCTGATCCACGACTCCCAAATGTCCCATTGAAGACACAGACTGTTTTGACACAGATCAAACCCTGAATGGAATGTTCCTAAACCTGGTAGTGTAGCTATCTGATTTGAACCTGGGGACGGCCAAATCCGATTAGAAGCACATGGAATCCATGAAGCTGCTGCGGGTACAAGAATGAGCTTGGATTAAACAGTTTTTACATGGGGAGGGGTAGTTATATAGTAGTTGTCACCTTTTTGTTAGACGGTAGAACCGAGCATTATCTTAACTGTCATCAACCATAAACGTCGATATCGGAACTTAGTATTCGAGAGCTGTATATATATCAGAATATATAGATGTGTCTGTATAGTGTACAGTAGGTTGGAGGCTATATAAGTTGTTCTGTCAAATGCATGTCTGAATTGGGTGGAAGCTTTCCCCGCTGACATCATCGCTTTTGCGCTTATCTAATCGCCGTATTCAATCCATCGCAATATCAACTCTGCGCCCTGACATGGTGTAGCTGCGGGATAATATAGCTATCAATCACACAGACCGTATTCGACAAATGTTGGCCCTAAAAATAAATGGAACAGTTGCTGTCAACAACACTTTTTACCAGATCACCTGGATGCCTCTAACCCAACTTCTCAGCGAAGTTCTCTCGATGAATCAATCTTATTAGGAATGTATTTACTGAGATTATCGATGACAACCCAGTTCCCCGGTTCAATGCGGATATTTGAACTGGTCGTTGCAAGGCTCAAGAGTTTGTCACATATCCGGGCCAAGCTCTTTTAAGTGGGCTTCAAGGCAGATGCGCTTGCGATAGATTCAAAAGTTGATCATGTTTCGTTTGCTCTTATGTAACTATTGCATTTGCTAACTAACGTAACTAATAACTACATTAGCTTGCCCAATCTTATCAAAATGCAATTATTGGTCGGGAGGGTTCGAGCTCCGTTTGTTGGAGATGACAGCTACCGCTTTCCACAACATAATGACCTTTCTATTCAACCAAGCTCATCACGAGTTGTGCACAAGTCGTAATCAGGCTTCGCAGCAAGGCTCAATCAACATTACCCCCAAATTCCCAACAAACTCTAAAGCATCTCAACTACAGACATAACGATCAGTATCCATCTGGTGTTACTGATGTAGTTGGTCACTGGGCCGAACTATAGTGTTTGAGGGAGTGGTCTTGTTTGATCGAGATGAATCTGAATGTGAGGCGCGTTTTATTTCCCATCCCACAACGTGTTTTATCGGAGGCTTGTTATTGGAGTCATCACTTACTAAATGTATACATATCTATAGGCTCTCGATGCATACATTCATCCCAGATTCATATTCAAGATCTTCAAACTCTCAGATCCTCAGCTCAACGCATTTGTTGAACAGAATGCTTATGACCAGTCACATATGACATTTCCTCTTCCCTTTATCACCGAAAGGTAGGCGCTGAAGGTGCGGCTGGGCCAGTCGATATCACATCATCTCCTTTGCAACGGATATGAGAGGAAGCTGGTAGATGAGATGCTTTTAGCAAGGGAATATCATTGGCCGCAAAGGCTAGAGGATGAACCTTATATTTAAGATATTATGGAGAAAATGAGTGAAAAGAGGGAGAGCGTAAAATGAAGAAGGGTGAGAACCACTAGAAGGCATGTTTAACGCCATCGTTTTCATTTGCGGTTAGACCTTGGGTCGATGACTCTGATCGCTCAGAAAAGACCCTGAGAGTAGTCAATCACAGGAAGTGAAAACTTACAGCATCACAATACCATAGTATATGTATCTGCTAGGAAGTTAATGCATCCTGTGTGTATCTATAAGTCGTGATGAAATTTTTCCAGAGACAGGAGTTACGAGCCCCATTCAGTAGTTCCACAGGTAGTGGTTTGACAAGATATCATGTTGGGATAGTAGGATTAGTGGGGGTAATAACGTTAACACTTAGCAACGAAAATGTATATGCAATTAATTTTAAATTCATCCGTCAACAAATAATGGACATCGCTCGTATGAAACAGCCTGTGACCGACGGCCTATGAGCTAGGGCTGCTACGGAAAACGTTACGTTTGAGTCGCGTTGTCACTTATGGATAAAAAAAAAAGGAGAACCCATCCATCAAGAGAGTAAATGAGCGAGAAGAGATTTGAAAAAGGGGAAGTGAGGTGGTTAATTGTTAAATGGAAGCTGGCGGGTAGAAAGAGATCTAGATATTGTAGTTCAGCAATATTTTTTGGCTGTAATGAAGTTTGTGAAGGAGAGGGTGTTCTCCATATGAGCACGACACCTCCAGCAAAGCAAAGCCAGTCTGTCCATGACAGAAGTCAACCAAAGTTTGTTTCATTCCCATTTCCAATGCTATGCAAACTTGTATGAGAAGAAAATAAATAAATAAAATGCATCATTTCCTTTCCCAATTCACTTCTATCAAAAATCGCCATCCCATCCTTACCCCAATCCAATTTCCATTCATTCACCCCCCTACTCGCATAAATCAAACAGCGAGGAGAGAAAAGTCCACTTCGAAACCCATCCCTTCGAAAGTATCTGGATCAACGATATAATTCTTCCAAAATCGCAAGCCTTCAATCCCTTCCTCGCGACAGAGAACCCCCCTATCCTCTGCCATCTCCAGTTCCTCGGCAGCGACGCCAACACTCCAACCGAACCGCTCCGCTGCCTCTTGAGCCGTAACGCCTCTACCATACATATGCCAATCCCAAAAAACAACTTCATCAGACAGTGGTGTGGATCGCAACTCTTCAAACCACCCTTTCAACTGTCTAATGGTCTTTTCATCCGTCCAATCGAAACGTTGCACTACAAGCAGCCCACTTTTGAACCGGCGGAGACGAACGGGCAGTTTCAGTTTCTCCCACAGCTCAGCCGCCTTTTGGAAATCTGCCGGGCTTACAAGTTCGACACCATTGCGACTACGATTGAACACAGCCCAAAGGTCGATTAGACTCATGATCCCACCTTCCCGGTGAAGGATACCGTTACGATCATCAGTTAGGTATTCTGCCAGATTGCGAGAGAGCTCCGATAGGTACAAGTTCTCGGAACCACCGCCGGATCCAAGCATATCCTTAGTAGTGGTCATGCCCAGCGCTGCTGCGGATTGCGAAAGAACCCTTCTGGCTTCAGCAGAACTTCCATTGGACATCATTCCCGATTCCACGGCGAAGGTTTCGGCAAGCGCAACGATTTCCTTGGCCGATGCCATCAGTGCCTCGAGATCTTCAAACGCACTTCCAAGAACCACTTGGTTGTTCTGCCTTGCTTCGAATCCCCGGCGTTCAAGTCCGGCAATACCAACCGCAGAGTGTGATGGACGCTGCCCCAGTGAATTGGGGTCGCTACCTGGTGTGGAAGAGGTGGAAGAAGGGTTAGCTTTCGGGACGGGTGGGGCATCATGAAGAAGCCATTTTCGCTGTACCAAAGCGCTTCTGAGCCTTTCATGAAATATCTTCTCACCACCTCCACGGAAGGATAGCTTGACGCTTTCATATACTTCGGTATTATGTAAGTTTGAGGTTGCAAAGAATGGCGCTGGCGAGTCCGAGCGATCCGGGATTTGACTGTTGGTCGCGTGATCACCTCTTTGGAGAGGTGCACCGCATATTTCACAATATAAGAGAGAAGGGTGGTTCGCAAAGGTACATCTTGGGCAAGATATACCTGAATCCGCTGACGAAGGAGGATTATGGAATCGGTTGAAGCTGGGCAGATAATCACCATTACTTCCGATTCTAACAGGATCATACTGGCTGCCTAGTGGCGAAGGATGCACAGAAACAGTGCTAGTTCCTCCACGACTAGACGCTGATGCTGACGTTATTGCTGCTTTCAAAATCGTAGTGAAGGGAGGTTTTATACCGCAAGCCAAACATGAAGGCAGTGTCATGGAGGCGTTCGCCGTTGCAGGGTTAAAATTCGATGGAACTGGATTTGAGAATGAACATATTGGACAAACCCAAGTTGCATTCGGTGTTCTCACAGGAAGAGTGGCTGGAGAGTTGAATGGACTACCACTCCGGCGAAGGGGTGACGATGGACTGCCTGGAGAACCAGGCCTCGCTGCTTGTGGGGTAATCCAACTGCCAGGACCGTTGCTATTTTGACCGAGTACTCTTTTCGACGGCTTTGGATATATCGTTATCTTGGGCGACGACTTTAAGAAGCCTGCCTGTTAAGAGATTCAAGTCAGAGTCTGACAACATACGCCCATGTTAACTGGGACTTAGGGGAACACATACTTGATATTCAACACGATCGACATATTTTAACTCAAGGGCAACAGAGTATTTTCGAGGCTGATCGCCGTCGACATAGCATATGCGATGCGACGTGAGATAGGCATGGCCAGACTGGTAATTTGGAATTTTGTATTTCCTATATAGCGGATAACGCGGTATGAAATTAGCAGTAGAGAAGTAAGTATGACCCAGCCAAGGGTCTTGGAAATTTCGACAAGGACATTCAAGTCTTACCCTTCATACAGTCCGACCTGATCCTGCACAAAGAGAAGAGTCTCATCTGGCAATAGAGACGGGCGGAGGGCAGTCGTAAGATCCAACGCGTTGAAGAACATCTAGCCACGCCCAGTGAGAGAAAGATGAGGACATGCGTATCATTTTGGAGCCAACAACAGACAGAACTACGCCATTCAAGGAGAAAAGCGAAATGTGAAGTTAAGTTATAACCAAACCTCAGAAGCTTCTCACTGTCGTTTACAGACTTAGATTATATAATCGTATATCATGTGACACCAATAGTGGCCACACGCCTTTGTCCAACATGCCAGCGCCCAAAACGGGAATCTAAGCGAACACGCCTCAACTTCACCGTATCGCGTGTCAAAAGTCATCAGGGCTTCAACCTTTCAACGACATCATCTTTTCTTCCCTTCTCTTTATCACCTTTAACCGCTGTAATATACCCTTCTTCATCTACGTCCTGCATATACCTGCTCTCTTTCTCCCATTTCATATATTCCTTTCACTTAGAAGAAAAGGAAACGCACCCACAGCATTGTGTGCTGGTGTTCCTTTTCCTTGGCTTTGTTTCCACCAAGTACCTATTGACCATCACCATCATCCTGTATTTGTCTTCGTAATCACCCATCCTTTGCCGCCGGATCTTGATCTTCTGCCCTTTTCTTCCGTCATGAGTACAGCCCCACCGCCATGGCGAGCCACGGCTACGCCCGTGTATTCATCAAGTGGTGAGTTTTGGTCAATATAATGTCCTTTTTAATGTCCTTTTTAATTAAATAACGTCGGTAGTTGCTAACTGAGAATCTGCTGTAGTGTCTCCTGTGTATACCCAGGTCCAGGCACGACACACTCTCACCCATCATTCTTCCGAATCCACGGCTACGGCTGCGGCTGCGGCTGCGGCTGCGGCTAAACCGGACCAAGGAGAATCGTCAGCACCAAAATCGGCAGATTCCCAATCCGGGAAGTCCAAAATTGACTGGCCACCAGCCGTCCGCCAGTATGTACAGCGCAGCTTTGTTCCTGAGTTTCAAATCGCAAATGTTAGCCGGTTGGAAATGGAACGGAAGCTCAAGCAAGTTATCACAGAGGCTGCAGAAAGTGGTAATCTGCATACCGTCGACTGGGAGAACTTGCCGTTGCCGCAACAGATGATCTGGAATGAACGGAATAAGATTCTTACTTCTGCACCTTCACAGTCCACTTGGGGCATGAAGTCACAAGAAAATGGTTCACAGAAACAAAAGAAACCAAAGGAAGAACCCCCAAAGAAAAGGAAATCGGCAGAATTTAGTGCAGGAAATGATGAGACGGATAACACCCCTCCTTGGAGAAAGACTAACACACGAAATGGTTTTGAAGACCGCATTAGTTACCCATCTACAGTTGATAAACGGCGGCGGATAGATAACAATAACATCAACAGCAAAAATTCAAGTAAGTTCAAATATAATCTGGAGCTACGAAAACGACGCTTTGAGCATTCGCATTCGGAATACCAGTCATCTCAGACCGGCAGTTCTTCTCGAGATGAATCACCAGATGTGGGCGGAGGGCCCATCATCGGACGCTGTCAGACATTGGAGAAGAACTACTTCCGTTTAACTTCTGCCCCCAATCCTGATGCTGTTCGACCTTTGCCCGTGCTGCAGAAAATGCTGGATTTGTTGAAGAAAAAGTGGCGTCTCGAGAATAACTATACCTATGTTTGCGATCAGTTCAAGTCTATGCGCCAGGATTTGACCGTGCAGCACATCAAAAATGAGTTTACAGTGAACGTTTATGAAATACACGCCCGGATTGCGCTGGAAAAAGGGGACCTTGGTGAGTATAATCAATGCCAAACGCAATTGCGGGCATTGTATTCGCAGAACCTTGGAGGACATCCCATGGAGTTCAAGGCATATCGTATCCTATATTTTATCCATACTCGCAACCGGACAGCAATCAACGACGCCCTGGCAGATCTAACTACCGCAGACAAACTGGATCCCGCTGTGAAACATGCCCTCGATGTTCGATCGGCTTTGGCATTGGGAAATTACCATCGATTCTTTCAACTTTATCTGGACACCCCAAACATGGGTGCATATCTCATGGATATGTTCGTTGACCGGGAGCGCCTTGCTGCACTCGCATGCATTTGTAGAGCGTAAGGGTCTCTTTCCCTCCTCTTGGAATGCTGGTTCAAGCTATTCTAACTGCTTACATTAGGTATAAACCTGACGTAAAGATAAGATTCATCACTGAGGAACTTGGCTTTGAGTCCGATGAACAGGCAGCCCGATTTATATTAGACCATGCCCAAGAGGATTTGCTCCAGGAGAAACCTGATGGGGTTAAGCTCCTTACCGGAAAAGCTGGACAGGTTTTTGAATTGGCGAAAGCGGAAGCTCATAAGGTGGTTGATATAAAAGGGCAGATCTAACCAAACCGTTCGATCCATCAAGGCAAAGATTTCTCCTTTATCCCGTGTTTCGTTCCCCCCCTTCCTCCCACGACGCCAACTTTTTATTCTTCTGTCACATGTTCCGTCTTCAAGTGGCCGTATCCTGAACGATACACCCTCGAAACCTTGTTTATTTTCTTTTTTCTTCTTGTCTTCGGCTTGAAATTGCCGTGGACCCGTTCTTATTTCTCTTTTGAAGTTTGTGTCTCTCATCACAACCCTTCTTCATCGCATATCTTTAACCCAACTTACCTTTTCCCACCTTCGAACGAGCGACCAGTATGCGCTTGGAACGCGGGGCTTCGAAACCCTTTTCTCTTTACCTTTACGGAGACAGTGCATTGGGTATCACTATACCCCTCATATAGGCGTTTCTGCATGCATATTCCATTTTGCTCATACACGATCGGCGGGGGTTGCATGGTACAGTTACTGACATTACCTTTTTTCATTTTGAGCCTGTAGCTGTCGGGAATACTAAAACCTAAGAGAAGAAACTTTCTTTTATATTTTTTGATCTGATAAGGGTTCATCTTGAGTCTGCTATATCAGAGAATTAAATTTTAACATGATATATTACAAATGGTGCTGACTGATCTCTGTCCCAGTAAATTCATTATAGATGCTTGTAGGAGTGGGTTCCATGTATTATTTAGTAAATATTTTCATCTCTGTAATCTGCTCGTCTACGTCGTCTGGGCGAACAACTTACTGGTTACATCTCCCGAGTCTAACTAGCGGACAGAGCAACTCTCGTTGATGACTTGCGCTGATGTCCCTTAAGCAACACCTTGCACCCATCATGAAGATGGTTGTTGTCATGGGGATCTGGGGAGGAGAGATAATGTAAGATGGGTAGATTAAGTGGATGTGAATCGGGCAGAGTTGCAGAAGTGGATCGGGGGAGTGAGGACAATTGGTGAGGATGGAACGAAGAAGCAGACTTGAGTGCCAGAGTGAGTGCCAGAGTTGCAACCACGTAGTCGGTGTGCAAAATAAAAGAATCAAAGAGGATTTGGGTAGGGAAATAAATCAGTAAATAAATACCCTAAATACTTAAAGAGCATCACATATATCTCATTACCATATATCATAATGCAGAAACATAAGAACTGTTCATTAATCATTTTTCCTCCTTTGGCTCTCTGAAGAATATCTCTGCTTTGGAGTTGGTTATGAGATCAGCATAACTAGTTATATTAGGGCTCGATCCTATAGTGACAGGTAGTTACATAGTCATCTTCTTTTTATCGCCCTTACTCATATTAAACGCCTTCAAAACTCATAACAATGAGTCCATGAAATCAGATTTCCCTCATGTAATGTTATCTGTATGAAGATGAGTGCACTTAACATTTATTATATTTTGCCTTTCCTTTTCCCCTGAATAATTATGATTATTCCAGTGTGTGGGTTCAACAAAGCCTGTCCAGCAGGAATTAAAGATTGACATTCCATCATGCCCTCGATTGACTACCTCAGGAGCTATTCTATTGTATGAAACATTTGCATCAGCACATGCATCAGCACATGCATCAGCACACGCGATACTGTGACCTGACTCGGGTTGAGCACCTGTTGTCCCCCCTAATTGCCAACTCACTAAAAGTCGGTTATAAAGTTTTATTGTATATTTTCTTACCCTGCTCCGGCGAATTTTCGCCACGGTGATAGCATTATACGCAGAAATAACAATTTTCAAAAAATAAAGGAAATAGGAGGGCCTACCGAGATATGCTTTGGTTACTGTACTCCACTTAAAAGAGTTCACAGGGATGCACAGAACAAAGGCGCACGTCGCAGACACCATTTCATTTCGCGAGAGGAAGTAGTCGAAGATACACTACGTAATGGACGAAAGAGTTTGTTTATTTATTTATCCTGGGGTGGTTCCGAGTTGGTCTCCCTGTTTCAGCACCCGATGATGTCAGAAATCTTTGGAGCAATGTGAGATACACACATAACGTAACTAAGGGGGGGCGAGAGATAGCCACCATCACCGCTCTCCAGCTTCCACGAGAACGGAAACGAAGAGCGGAGAGGCACAGAAAGCGAATCCTGTGTATATGTCATCCAGGTGGAGTAGTTACTCTACTCAATATCCTGAGTAACGTAATTCATGCAGAAGGGAGACAGACGCACACTTTGGGGTCTATCAGGTGCTTCGGAGGGATAAGGAATCTTGGAAAGAGTATGGTTGTTATGGTACATATCACACCGTCGGTATATGCAGGCTGCGCATGTGTGTGATAGAGAAGGACTCACATCCAATGGCAGACGGCTCATATCATATAATGTGATTTGGGATGATGTGTGGATTGGAGTAATCAGCAATAGCCAGTAGGAAAAAACAGGTTCGTGAAATCTCCTCTGCTCAGTCCGTTGCACTACAGGAGAAAGGTAGACGCGTTGTCTTCATGAATCAGTTTCATGTTCGGACTCGAGCGAGGATATCAAGAAAAGAAAAGATGCTTAAAAGCTTTATTCTTTAGGCAGTGATTTAATACTTTCGCGCCTCCCTGAACTAACTAATATTTTTAACCTGGTCTTTAGAGCGTCCCAGTCTCCCAATTTTATTTTATTTTACTTATTTTTGCGCGTTTTATTCTAGTTTGTGCCCACTTTTCTCTGGTTCTTTGGTTCTTC